TTCACAACATCTATATTTTCTTTATTTTATTTTATGCCAAGATTTCAATTGTTCTTAAACTGCCCAATAAATTTTTTTTATATCACTTTTTGCTAACTCTTTAATTTTTAGATTTTAAAATTATCTGTTATGAGAAATATTTCAAATAAAAGTAATAAAAAAAATGATAGTTGAGAACAATCCACACTGACCAAATTATTTCTCATCTATATAATTTAATTTTTATTTATTTACTTTTTGGAAGGTGAGGACGGTAATTTAATTAAGTTAAAATAAAAAATCGTTATTTATAATAAAATGATGATGTAATATGAATATGAAAATATGATGTAATATAAAATAATTTCATTTGGCTAGTTTTTAAGGAATCGATTTGATTATTCTTATATTAATAAAAATTGAGATGCATTTAAAAAAGTATTTAAACAGGCGAACAAAAATTTAAAAAGTAAATATATGCTTTAAAAAAATCATGTATGTTCATGACTACAAAAGGGTTTTTATTCTATAAAAATATCTGAATTTTTTCAATATCAGTTAAATTTCTACAACAAAAACTTTTTTCTGCAAACAATAATAATTTTTTTTCATCAAAATAACTTTATTAAAAAGCCATGGGACATTGAAATTAAGAATAAAATAAAAAGGAAATTTTGAGAGAATAATTTATATTTATACCGTAAAAATAAAAATATTCATAAACAAAACTTTTATTAACATTCAAAAAATGTTCTTGATTGATAAAATACGTAACGTTTCATAATAAAATGCTTTCAGAGAACTTTTCTCTATTGAAAATAATTGGTGGAATAGCAAACAATGACTACATTGAAAGGCATCTATTCAACATTATTACTTCTTTATTGTTTAAAATTAATTTTAATTGTAAACTGATAAGCAAAAAATGTGTTCCCCTTTAATTATTTTTCTTTCTTAAACTAATAATTAATCTTTCCAGAATCTGATAAAATATTTAATAATTGCTATTTGGAAAATATAAAATAAAAATCCATCAGTAATAAAAAATTGTTTATTATTCTTCTTTGTTTAAAATTTTGTAATTGACATTATTTCTTAACTTTGAATATAGTGGTGGACACCAAAAACTACTCTATTGTACTTGTTATAAGATAAATATTTTTAATAAGACAGACCTGTGGTATATAAACTTAATAATAATAAATATAAAAAAGTTTAAAAACTACCTAATCAATTATATGATTTATTGTTACTTTTATAAAACTTTTTATGACTATAACTTTACCATTAAAGGTTTATGATTAGCATTTTTAAAAATGCTATTTCCTTGCATTTTCTCTTCTTCGCTCGCCATTATTAGTAGTGACTGCAAAAGAATTGGCAGTATAACAGTTTAAATATATAAATATGTATTTTGTCCTCGATATCGATGTGATGTGTGATTTCAGGTGCAACAATCTTGTTACACTAGACTCAATAACCGACGAGAAGGTGGCCGGATATAATATTGAGTCTTTGATCTGTCCGACCTGTTCTTCGTGTTGGTAGCTCCATTACATACAAATGTTCATTTATTATTATTACCCTCATGAATCCTTTCAATTCCATTACCCATAAAACTGTCCATGCCCAAATCTTAAGTAATCAAGTTATATCTATAAAAATATATATATTCTGAGAAAAGTAGACAACTTCAACCATTAAAAAAAAGCGACTACAGATGAAGCAGTTTAATAGTAAAAACAAGTCAGAACGTTTTCATTGTAGTTTGCTTTTGTCAATTTATGCTGCTTTTCTAATAGACAAATAAATTTTTAATTGGTAGGATTTGTATGTTAATTTATTATTAAATTATTAACTATAACAAAGAGAATAAATGAGCTGAAATATTTTAATATATTATACTTTCAGAAAAACTTTAGTCAGTGATAAAAGTTTAGGAGTTATTGGTAAATTACTTTTGGCCCATGTATAGCAAACATCCTATACCTTAATACCATTTAACACATTTCATTCCATTTCTCTAATACTTAGTTATTCAACCTGCAATATACTTGGACCAAAAGTTTTCATTTTTATTTTTAGTAAAAATGTCTAACAATATTATCCAACTGATAAAACTCCAAGATACTTATATTTTAGTGTTGGTTTGATTAATCAATTCTAGTAGTTAGCCAGTGACTCCAAAATTTTAATCACTGATAGAAGGATAAATCACATGAAAATTATATATATTTTTTCCTATATATTATTATGATAAACACAAGACCATCTGTAATATAGAATTAAAAGAAACGTAACAATAAGGTCAAGTTTTATTAACATAATATAAAAATATTATAAAAATATTATTTTTTAAGAATAAATTATACAATCAAACTTTTAATTTTGCTTTACTAGAAACATAGGTAAAACTATGAAACATAAAAAAAAAAAATTAAATATGTTTTTTAAATTCGTGAGACCAACATACATTTAAATTAAATGATACAAAAACACCTTTATCTATAGCCGAGAATGTAAAATATAGTGTTATTTAAAATAATAACTAAATCAATTGATAAAAAGTAACTTCTATTTTTGATTCCTGATTATTTTATACAAGCACTTTTGATGATTCCAAAGTAACAAAGTATGTCAATAATACAATTATTTGTTTTACATTGAAAGATATTATATCTGAGATAATTAAGAAAATTTTAACATACTTCGTTTTATTTAAATTCTTTGAACACGGTTTATATATTTTGTATTATTGGAGGTCTTATTATATATTCAGTTAATCAAGTTTGCTGTTATTTGAAATGTGATTCATCTAAAAACTAGGGGTATGGCCCATAAACCCAATTTTTTTTGGTGATTATTTATTTACATTTAAAATTAATTTCCATATTTCACAGTTATTATTATGATATGCATTCATTTCTTGTATAGAAATATGAAAAATCTATTTATCATATAACTGTACCATGATAAAAACAAACTACCGCAAAGTCATTTGTATTAGTTTGAACAATACACAAGTACATTCCATAGAATATTTAAATAAGAAAAAATATATCAGTATTTAAAGTTCTTAAAGTATTTTAATTTGATTTTGAGTCATATTTTTTATGTTGATAGATATTAAGGGATGAATGTATACCATTAAATTCTAAAAAAAAAAAGCAATGTTTAGTGGATGGGCCATGTTTTACAGATTTGATTAGGTTAATTTTTAATATACCATTTGCTGTAACAAGAGTATTGATAATATAAATATGATACTAATTTTTAATTATTTCTTATTAAAGTTTACTAAAATATATTCAATTTTCTACATTAAAGTCATTTCAAATATGTTTCTTTTTAAATGAATTTTCTTCAAGTATAGTGAGATTAGAGGGTATTGCATAAAATAATTTGAATTTCCTTTCTGAATAAAGAAAGTTGTAATTCTGGCTTGGCATTTAAGATAGAAAATAGGTAGGATTTGTCATGGAAGGCTTGAACTAAGGACCAAGAGAATAGGAGCACTGTAGATTACTCAATGTGCTATCCTGTTCCATTATTCATTATACATAATTCATTTAAATTTCATAAAAATTAAGCTACAGTACAATGTAGAAAATTCAATCAGTGCAAAGGCATTATGAAACAAAAATATTTTATCAATTGACCAAACATAAGCCCTATAGATAAGTTTTGATAACTACTATTGATGATAACATAGTAAGTTCAAAAGAATTTTATGATATAGGGATCCTAAAACTTAATTTGAAAATTCTTAAAATATTTGATGATCCTAACATTTTTATCTGTATATCAGACACATATTAATTAAATATTTAATTATTCTATTGTTAGATTTTGAAATGACTTTACTATTTTGGTGATCATCATTGAATAAAGTTCTTTATTACCATGAGTTACAGCAAATGTTTTATTTTTCAATTATAGTTAATAGAAGCCCAAAGAAATGTGATTTTATCTTTTATTTAATTTAAATAAATTATTAATATTTACTCTTATATTATGAATTATATCACAAAATTTAAAGATTATTCTATCACAAAATTGGCCTTCTACTAACTATAATAATTTTTTTCTCAAATTATTTTTGCATTTATATTAAAATATTTCTGCTCTTGTTTAAAAAGATATTGATTGTACATACATTGTCCATTAATTCACTTAAATATAAATTATATATTATTATACAGATATCACTTGATTATTAAAGATTCTACATATATACAACTGACCCCCGTGACCAATCTATTCTTTTTACGAAAGAATAATTTGCTATTATTATTTATTATTGTTACAGGTATTTCTTTGAGAATCGATGGTGTGAAAAAAACTTTAGAAGAAGTTTTGGAGAATGAAAAATTGAGTGATGGGTGGCATTGTGTAAGCTAACCGTTTAGTATTTTCAATATGCTTATTCTTATTTTAAAAAGATTAATATAAATCTTTCATTCAATTCAAAAAGAAAAATTAATTATTTTTCTGTACTTTTGTCAGTAAATGACTTTTAAAAAATGTATAAATGAGTTTCTGTGATCTGTACTTTACTTTTGATTCCATCAAAATTTAGTTTATTTTTTCTATTTCAACATTATTTAAGTAATTGGATAAATTCATTTATTTCAATCATCTAAAATTTTTAGAATGTAACATTTAAATAATGCAATAAACTAAATGTCTTTTATGATATGAGGTAGTTATTTTCAAAACAGCTTCAATCTACTTACTTCACAAAATATTTTTATTCTATTTTACACAAGTTCTTAATAAACAATACTTAACTAACCCATATTGAACAAGAAGTTTTCAATCCAGCATAAAAATGGTTTTCAATTGATAAAATTGTGTTGGTCAAATAAGACACAATCATGTTTTTGGTGCCTACTGTGATATTTTTTGGAAATAGATTAACCCGATATTAAAACTCTGTCTCATTTATTCATTAATTTTTTTTTTTTATCTTTTTATATTATGATATATTTTTTCATTTTCAAATGTATAAATATGTTTAGGTGACAGACGGAAATGAATTAGCAGCCCATTATGCTTTGAGTCAAGTTATCTATCGAAGAATTGAACAACCACAGCAAGAAAAGAATGAGTGTCCATTTGATCTGCCTGATGACTGCGACCTGATAAGAATTTATTGGAAAGATGGGAAGGCTGTTGGTTTTTACACTTTGAAACCGAAAGGTATTTTGAATTTAAAAATTCTATAATGTATTTTATGCTATTATAATTTAATTTCATCAACGAACAATTTACCACACTTTTAGGTACTTACATTGAACACAGAGGAGAATCATATTCAATGATGACATTAGATACTGCCTACATTAGGTCTGAATATCGAAGAATGGGAATGGGCCTTTCGATATTGGAAGATATCAGAAAGAGGCACCCAAATGAGGACATCGCTTTCAGTTCGCCAATTGCCTTTTCCATGCTAAAAGGTTTTTATACTTACATATTTGAAATATTTCTTTCTAAAAAAAATTTCAGAATAGAATTTTATGGTATTTTTCTATTTCAGTGATCAGTAAATTCATAAAATTGTACCCAGAAATGAAATACAAGCTTTGGGAGGTTAGTGGAGCTGGTACTGAAGGAAGTAAAAAACTTGCCTGGTTCTCAGTTGCTAAAAGCAAAAGAAATGCTGTGCGCAATTTTGGAAGGGTTGGACCCGGTTTATAATTTCATCTCTTTGAGATCCATTTAAAACAAGAAGAAAGACATTGTTTTAACAAAAATTGTTATTTATTTTATTATATATTCACAAATTAATCTTATATTTATGAAGTAGAATAGATTTTTTTTTATACTTAATTTTTTTTACTATATATCATATTTATGATAATGTCAGTATTAATAAATTATTATATTTATATTTTTCAATTATTCTGGATTTCTCATTGCTACCACAATCCTGTCATTTTTTGTTTTGCTTATAAAAACGATAGTTCTTATAAATATCATACTTTCTAAACAATCAATTTACTCAGATAATATATAACAATTTAACATATTACTAAAAAAAAATGTTCAAACACAATGGCTAGAATTCTAAAAATCATCAATGAATCAAACTGAAAAATTCTCATTAGATAAAATATTCATAAGTTAAAGAATTATATATTTTTTAAATTTCCTATACGTTTCTACAAACTTTTGAATTATTGGAATATTTCTGTATTTATTATAAAATGTTTTCATGAGTTTTAATTAATTCAGTATAAAAGATTTTTGAGGAAAAGTTTTTTTGTTTATAATGCTGTAAACATACAAAACGGAAATTAATAATAGTTTAATTGAAACACGACCTACATTTCAAGAGGCCATGATCCATCTTCATGATGGGTGACCATGTTGAGGCAATCGTCGCTTTAACATTCTCAAGTCCAACGGCGCTGATTCAAACCTGGCCTGCGTTGGTTGAATTAAGTAACCAAAAATTCTTTATTTTCTACATCCTACACTCACAAATACATTATGAAATATTAAAACAAATAAATAAAATAGATTAGGAAAAAAACTTAATGTGAATTAAGTAATGTAAGATGTTTCTGGAGGCTTAAAGCTCAGGACTTGGCTAATGGTTCAAATGCTAGTTTTAGAAGAAAATTATTTCTTGCTCAATCAGCTTTGAATCAAGTAAAAACAGATCCTTGTATCTATGTACCCTATTAAATACATATCCTAACCCTGCAATGGAATAGGATAAAACCTGACAGTGGGAGATGATGCTAACATCTTGTACAACTTTTGTCATGCTTAGGAAACATAGTAAGTACTTTACCTTAGTATAAATATTTAAATAATGGAAAATGTAAATGAATAAATATTTAACTGTCATCAACAGTCTATGGCCAAGTAGTTCCTTAGTTAGAGAAATAGTGTAGTTTTGGTTCCAGTTCCACACAATAAAAACTATGATGAAGTATAATATTTCATTAAAAGACTGGGAGCACCTATCATATAAATATTTACTTTAATGAAAAATAGGTTTCATAAATAAACCACCAGAAACAAAACTGGTGTATATTTATTAGGCCACAAAAACTAGAAAATGGAAATATGAAGAAATTGTACCATGCTGACTTTGGATTAAAACCTGTCAATTTAAAAATTGGAACCTTTACAGAGGTCCCAAAGAATGTAATAATAATATCTCATGCTAAAAGTATAATAACACAGTTAAATCAGCAAAACTGATGTTTATATGTTTTAATTCTTTGTATTATTATTTTATTTTTCTCAAAAGTGTTGAAAATTACATTTCATAATACCTGTACTTCATCTTAATTTAAAAAACAACATATTTAAAAAAAGAAAATTGCACTCAGGTCTAGAAGTGCACACAAGCCAAAAATATAATAAATGGCAAAATAAATGTTGCAAAAGAGTACCTCCAATTTAAAATAATTTAAAAAAATTAAGTGCTATGAAATGTTTGAATGAAATATTATAAGATAATGAAAAAAAAGATTCACCACTCCATATTTCATAGTACTTCACACAAAGCAATAGTGAGTATAGTTTATGGTGTTTTTATTACAAGACTTTATTTCTTTACAATTTTAATTTATTGATTTATTTATGAATTCACTTAATTTAGTTAGTTATCTGCATTGCATTTCCACTAATTAAGAATGAACTTTTCAGTTTTTTCAATCTATGCCTTTGGGTATAGATCATCATTATTTTTTTATATAATTATGTTTATTTATTATAATAATTTTTTTTATGGTTAAGATTGTTTGCTTATAAGAGTAATTTAGCTTTTTTATTATGTATTATTTTATTTTAGAACACCTTTCCTGATTTGTTTTTTAAATATTTTCTTAATATTTTAATGTACTAATGTACCTACTAAGATATTTATTTTAGTTTTTGATTATGCAATGAGTCTTATTACATGAATTAATCTTTATTTCTCTGCATTTCTATTTATAAACGATAACTGGAGCAATCTGAAATCAGAGTACTAACACATGTAGGAAATGAAACAATAAAGAACTGAATATTGAAACTAGTCAATCAATAACTCATGTGATATGAAGGTAAGCAGATTAAAATGGGTGAGACATATAGATGGAGAAATCCATCAGAAAGCTTCTACACAACAATTAATGCCTCAATAGTTGCTAAGAGACCATACGGAAGCAAAAAAAAAACAGAGGGATAGATCAAATCAACAAAGATAGAACAGACCTGTATGCTGATAACTGGAATGAAAGAGCCCAATATAGGCAGATAAGGAGAACACTATTTAAAGTGGCAAAAGATCTACAAGGACTATATTGTCAACAGAAAAAAAAAAAAAATATATATATATATATATACACACACTTCATGTTCTCTCAATTTGTCATTAAATATTTCTCAGATTTAAATCAATATTTGGTTAATTTTACTAAATATTTCAACTCCTGTTACAATTAGATATAATATTCTAGACGATTCAAATCAGGACATAGTCCTTAATAATTAAAAAAAAAAAAAACAGATAAAAACAAATATTGAACTTTAAATGACATGACAATGTTTCACAAGTAAATACAAATTAATAATTAAGGCAAACATTGTGCAGTGACATGCATCAAGATATTTTAATTTGGATAATAGTTATAAATAAGAATTCTTTGATTACTTAAAGAGTTATCTTGGGAAAGAGCAAATATGAATTGGCGCCTTTTATATTTTTTCAAAAGATAAATTTGACCCCAAGCTACTATTTGTAGGGCAAACAATGTAATAATAAATGGAATTTTCCAACAAAGATCTCGTGTATCAAGTTAGATAAGAAATATGTCATCAATAATCTCATGCCTCCTATTGTTAAGTGTTATTGGAATTTATTTTTCTTTTCTCCAAGCTATAAATAGAACACTGCTGAAATATTTGACTGGACCTAAGGTCAAACATCTTTTTCAAGTCCCGATTTTAAAAATTTAAAAAAGAATACTTTTAATACTTGTAAATAGTTAGTTACAGAATGAAGTAAATGGACATTTACAGAAAAAAAATTACTTGAAATTGGAGTTATATATTTACAATAATAATAGATTTAAGAATTCTTTAAACATTATGAAATATAAAAAAAAAAAATACTCTTTACAAGCTAAATTGCAACAAGTGTGATGGAATATATATAAAGAAGATATCTAAAACAACTAAAAATTCGGATGGCACAAGACAAAAACAATTCCAAAATTAATAAAAATATAAACACAATTGCACTCCTTCAATATAGAATTAAACCTAAAAAAACTAAGGTTGCCAGATGTTCTACTTTTCAGGACAGTCTCATAATTCTAGATTTTATATTAACGACTAGCGGATCCAGGATTTAATTTTTTTGGAGGAGGGGAGGGCTTCTGCCCGAAAGCTTTTTTTTTTCATAAAAATAATGATAATTACTTTGGGAAAAAAGAAAGAAACTAACTACCTATATGAAATGGTGTTTAAGTGATTCCTCAAGTCCTTTTAAATGTAATTATACGAACAATAATACTTTAAGAGATAATTTTTTAATATTTTTTTTCCGTAAAACATGGTTATATTTTACTATTTTGAAGGGGCTTAAGCCCCAAAGCCCTCTCCCTCCCCCATAGATCAGCCCGTGACATTAACTGTCTTATGTCCTTACCAGGAATCCTACTTTCGTTAGTAGTGCAGTTTATTTTTCAAATTACTTTAATCTAGAGGATTTCACATTACGCGGTTTCTATAATTTAGTTCCTGAATGGAACCAAAGCCGCGGAGAGAAACCGAAGGCTCCAGGAACTAATTTTCCAGGGCTTTCTTAATTTAATTTACCAATCTACTAGTGCCACATGAAATGCCTCGATTAAAACCTGAAATTAGGTAGAAACGTTGTGAAACAATAAAATACAATTAAAATATATGATATATATTGACCGCACCCCAACCAAATTCTCAAATTATAATTACGGAGTGCTACCACTGGGTAGTATCTCTTCAAGTCTGTTTATGTCATTATTTCTAATTTGTGCATATTTACTGGTTGTATTTGTATACAGTTGTAAATTTCATTAAATAAACAAAAAAATAATTATGTACAATCATCTCCATACCATTATTAAATTTGCCATTAAAATTCAAGGGTAGCCTTCTATGGTATTAATATTAGTCCCCTTATTATCAAATTATTAACATCTGCCTGAAACTTCGTGAATAGTTTCATCTCATCGTAACCTACAACTATTTTATTTACGAATATTCTTGGAAATGGAGAGTTTTCGGCAAACTTTGTCTATTTAATAAAGTACTAAAAACTCGTAAATACCCATTTGATTTCCACTTCGATCGTAAGATAATTTGATCACAAAATCGAGAAAAAAAAAGGTGGCCTGCAAAAATATTGAGTTGTTTTGAGTGACCTAGGCCCCTAAAATGTCAAATTAACGAGATCATATAGGCCAAATATTTTTGTAGTTCACCGTTTTTTCTTTATTTTGAGATCAAATTATCTTACGATCGAAGTGGAAAGCAAATGGCTATTTATGAGTTTTTAGTACCTAATTAAATAGACAAATTTTGCCAATCTCCTGATTGAAAACGCTCTAATTCCAAGAGTTTTCGTAAATAAAATAGTTGTAAGTAGCGAAGAGATGAAGCTATTCACGATGTTCCAGGCGGATGTTTTTATAAATAATTATTATTTTATAAATGATAAAAAGAGGTTTGTACCACTGACTATATATATATTAATATAAATTTAATAGCTAAAAAAAGTTGCAGGCCAACTCGAGTCCACCCCCTTTGGAGCACGGGCCCCAAATCTGCAACTGCAGTTTCTCTCCTCTCATCGGGCCTGATATGAGATCTATAATTTGATGCTTTTTCAATTAGACATGATACATTTATTCGCAAACTGCAACTAGAAATGAGGAAAACTAACGAAGACGGATATTTCTTGTTAAAAACATGTACCACTATCACCCATGAAGGTTCTTGTTGGGATCAGTACTGTGTGAAGGCCAACTGTTTGCTAAGAGGTGAAGGGATCAGACCGGGATCACGCTTAACCACAATGTTTTCTCATTAATTAATAATTTAATTAAGAGTAGGTACCCACTTTATAGAGACTGAGTGTGGCCCAGAAGGGTCTCCGAAACTCAGGGTCGATCCACGGCTGATGGAATAATTACCTATCATCAGCCGGATTCGAACTCAGGACCTGGAGCATTGGAAGTCAGTGCTTTCCCATTGAGATATCCCGCTACCTATTTGTTGTCAAGTATGCAGATATTCAACTTGCTTTAACTCTTCATTCGTTTTTCCTACATTATAAAATAATGCATGAAATCGATGGTAAATTTTTTTTACATTTAGTTTTTATAGCGTGTCAATATGGATAAATAGTATAATTTCGGCGTCACAGCCAAAAAACTGAAAAAAATTAGGAAAAGTTCGCTGTTTTTTTCATTTTGTGAATATATCAGAATGCAATGAGTAATTTCGTTTTCAGCCTTCAAATTCAAATTTAGTACTTCAATAAACGTTTACAACACCCGGGAAATCAACTAATTGAATTTGTTCCACATGCAACTATCATTTGAGCTGGATATAAGTTGATGATTTTGGACACATACTGTGAATCTAGTTTTCTCATTAAACGTCAAATAACAGTATTTCAATTTACATCTTCGTATACAAAGCAACGGCTTTCAACAACCGAAATAGTGTATTCTGATGAGTATAATCTAGAATTTAAAATGATTATACCTAGGACTCCACCTGGACAAACGTCTAACTTGGAATCCTCATACCAGACTGAAACGGCAAGAAACAGCTCGACGTTTCTGACTACTCTAACACTTGTTAGACAAATGCTCTAACCTTCCAATTAATTACAAAAGACTCATATACATGACTATAATAAGGTCTATTCGGACTTACGGAGTTGAGCTATGGAGCTCCACCAAACCTTCAAATTCCTCTCGCATCCAATCCTTACAATCCAAAATCCTTCGTAAAATCCTCACTGCTCCTTACTTTGTTACAAATAAAATCATCCACAATGACCTTAATGTTCCTTATGTATCAGATTTGGCCCAATCCAGATATCTATCCTTCAATAATAAACATCATTACCATCCCAACCCTCTTGTTTCTAGCCTTGCTTCCTATTCGATTCATGATAACCCTCTGAGGCGTCTGAAAAGGAAATGGCCAAGTGATCTCCTAATATAGACATATTATTAGAGTGCTACCAATGGGTAGTTTCTCAACATGTGTTTCATGTCATTATATCCATGTGCGAATTTACTAGATGTATTTTTTTTATACAGTTGTAAATATCATATAAATAAAAAAAATCGATTATTAATTATATTACCTGAATTTGGGACAATTGACCCCACTATGTCGTAAATACTTGTATACATATTTTTATTAGCGAGTTGTTAAGAAATATTTACAATCACTTATTCTCAAAATAATTAAATTTAATATTTAAACGTAGCTATAAGGTTTTTTCTTTGAAGTGCCACTTATACGGTCAATATTATTGAATAAATATCGAATTTCGTCAATATATTAACCGCGCAAAACATTACATTGCATCAATTTGATTGACGTCAATCAAACTGGTTGATATAAATTGTTTTTAATAATATCATAAAAGCTCTTTCAATATTTTTTTTTTTAACTTTAAACTTATTTATTGAAAAATATTACAATCTGTCTCTAGAACTATAGGAATATTATTGAAGGAGTGTCATTATTACTTGTAGCACGTGTAAGGACTATGTTGAGCAATTTTAAATTATATATACGTGTCTAAATCTTGAGGGCCACAGGACAATACGATATTTAGGGATCGCTTTTGGTTAGTTTGTGACAGTTGCGTTTGTGTGAGTCTGGAGAGAAGGGAGAGGGGTTCACCATTTATTGCTTAAGGGCAAAAATCGTCAATTTAAACTACAATACAAACTTAATTGAAATAATCCGAAAATCCAGTGATACCCTCAAACAGTTCCTAAGATTCCGCGATTCCATGCCCCTTAAAATACGTCAGCTCATAGTTTTCTCAATAATTTTCCCTCACTTCGATTATGGCTGCCTTGTATACGGTGGACTGCCTGATGAACTTGAGATCAGATTAAAGAGACTAATGAATTGTTTCATTAGATTCATTTATGGAGTCCCCAGACGTCTCCAGTTGAAGTGGCTCTATCCAGTTTTCCGACGGCAATACTTTCTAGATGTATTCTTTTTACGAACCTTTTCAACCAAAAAACTCTCTTACATTCTCGATTTCTTTACCCCTTGTTCCTCTGTCCATTCGTCCAACACGAGATCCCAGCCCTCAAACATGTTTATTCCTTCTCATAGAAC